TTGGGCTGGAGAGCATGATCGGCCCTCGGGTCCATTTGGGTGGAGATGGCGGCCGGGAAGAATTCGGGCCATCAAGTCAACCCATTGGGGATAATGGGGGCCAGCCAGCAGCCCTGGGCTGCTGCTTCCTGGGCTGCCAGCTCAAGCCTCGTCTCCTATGAGCTGGGAAGGCAGCTGGCAATGCTCAGCCTTCTCCTCCCCTCCAGGGGCCGAAGTGCCTTCCGGCCAGCAGGTCGAGCAAGGAGCCCAGAAAGGGGAGGAAAGGAGTTGGCCAGAGTCTCCCTCTGCCCCAGCAGGGCTCTTGCCTGCTCCCTGCCAGCCGCTCAGCCCATCTGTTTTTCTCATTTTGGCCTCTCCGAGCCCTAGCAGTCAGCCAAAAGGGGAGAAGCCACCCTCTCCACCCAGGACACGGAGTGGCCAGCATGGGGCTCGAACCCACAACCTTGGCATTATTAGCACCATGCTCTAACCAGCTGAGCTAGCCAGCCCACAGGCAGCTGTGCCTCTCCTGACCCTTTTGGAAGGAGTCACCGGCTGGCTCAGGGACGGCGTGGCCTCCGGTATGGCATGGTTGGATCAAGAGGCATGCTGGCAAGCCAGGGGAATTAGCTCAAGTGGTAGAGCGCTCGCTTCGCATGCGCGAGGCAGCGGGATCAATACCCGCATTCTCCAGGGAGCCGCAGTACCTTTGCTTGCCCTGCTTTTAGAAGCCGTTGACAGTCAGCGGGATGAGCTCCTCCAGTGGCCTCCATCCCTCTCCTCGTTTCACTTGGCCTCCCAAGAAGCCAGGCCTTGCATAGCAGGAAAGCTCTGCGTCCCCAGCCCTTCTCCCCCTTGCGCTAGTTGGGAGGCCGGAGACAGTTAGCTCAAGTGGAAGAGCGTGGGAGAAGTACCGAGATCGATACACATCTTCTCCAACCTGATCTGCTGTAGTGTGGGACCTGCCCCTTTCTTGCTGAGCTGTCACTAGAGCACAATCCCTTTCCCGCTCCCTGCTAGTCTTCACAAAGCTGATTGGCTTGGAGGGAGTGCCACTCAAATAAAGTATTATTCACATCCTAGGGGTCCATGAAGGGAATGAGTGGATGCTCTCTACAGCTAGATTTGGACAGCTTTGTGTGACATTGTTTGGGGGCATTCAGAGCACTGATCTAAATTCCTGTATCCTGTCACACATTAGAGATCCCCAAGCACTCAAAGAAGGACATGGTCTGTTCACTATTGTGGCTATAGAGAACAGAGAGCACAATCTCAGCTCCACCACATTATGTGGTATGCTCCCCACATTTGGCCCGAAGGGGTTAACATAGGCTTTATGGGCCAAGTAACCTACTATACTGTAAACCAGTGGATATTTAGGCTGAGAGGAAATCCTTTAGCAAGTGAAGCTCACCTTTCCTGGAAAAGGTCGGGGTTTCTATATATGCAGGGAGGAAGGCTGTAGTCACTCTCCTTGCGACACAGAGAAAAGTTTTTGGATCGAAGAGGAAGGGTTTATTTAGCAGACCTAGGAGATAGGGGATTAGCTAGAAGGGTGGAGAATGTTAGCCTGGGATAGTCAAGTTGGGAAGTAGTGCTGGGGAGTTTCAGAAAGGCCTGTGCTCGTATATACCTTAGCTGATCGATATGGGGCCCCTAGGCTGGAACCCAGTGTAGTGGCCATGCTTGGGTTCCCCTACCAAACACTGAATGAGTGGCACAATCCAGGCAGTGAACTTGAAGACTGTCCAGGACCATTCATTGAAGTCACTAAGTGACTAGCTCAACCAGGGCAGCGAACTTAAGGACTGTCTGGGACAGCCTGAAGGATTTTGATAGCATCCCCGGAAGGGGACGACTATTGGGATTTGGCTGGAGGGCTAAGCCATGAAGATAAACCATAAGGAGTAAGAAAAGGACCAGAGAGAGAGAGAGAGAGAGAGAGATGATGAGCTAAGGAACCGAGCGACATGGGCATCAAGCTGGCAGAGCTAATCCCCAAACACAGCCAGAGGGAGATGCTCTGGTGGTGAGTAGAGGGGTCTCTGTGACATACTATCATAACATACTCCTTCCATGTAACTGGAATATCACTTTCTCAGCATCCCAGTACTGAAATGGAGGGAGTTGTCTGTGGAATTCCCACCCCAGAGTGCAGCAGCAGTGAAGACTATCACTTCCTGAGATTTACTCAACTGTCTCTCCATTGATCTTGCAGAAAACCAATGCTCCCATCCCTGACATAATTGTTGAAATCAAGACTGAATGCCAGCTGATTACCCAAGCCCTGCAAGAAGAATGCAGGTGGCTTGAACAAGGAAGGGAAGGAGCAAGTCTGGATACCTACAGTGGGGTTCAAGACATTTCCTAGGCAGCTTACCATATCAGCAAAGAGTCAGAGTCAGATTTCACCCCAGCCATCACTGTACTTCTTCTGTCGTTCCAGATGACTCCAAGTCTGGGGCAATGATTTCTCATGGTATGGATGTGATAAGAAATGCTTTACACCACCTAAACCCATGCCAAATGCCCGTGATTACGGTGGATCAGCCCCTTTTCACCAAAACCAAAACAGATACAGCGGCTCTGGCCTGCTGGCTGTGGAGAGGAAAACATTGTCATTGTGCTGGGTGGTCTTCATCTGGCAATGAAAAGTCTAAAGCTGATTGGAGATTGACTAGAAGATAGTGGATAGATGGAAGATAGTCTCCCCAGGAACAGCTGACTACTTCTTGAAATTATTTCATGTCATCCATACAAGGTGTGCCCAGCAGTCTGTAAACCTTGCTCCAGAATTCATACACACAGTATACCCAAGGTGTCAGGGAAGATGAGGTCTCCATGGGGTATGATAAATGCTGTGACAAGAGAAAACTAGAAAACCTAGTGTTCTGCTTCTGGGCATACCACACTTCATCTGGAGCTTCTTGTATTGACTTATTTGTTTTCACTCCACCAGGCAAACTTGGCTCTCTACATTGAATTCCTTGGAAAGCTGTCACCCTGGTTCTGTGTTTGATCGGATGTATTATGCTCATTGTGTGTCGGTTCACCTCCGAGACATGGTAAACTTTCATACAGTGCATCCAGGCAGAGCTAGAGATTTCCTAAAGGGGGACTTCACTGTTTGGAATAGACAGCATGTTTTCTCTGCAATTGCACTTGACCCAGCTCATCCACAAAATAATAACATAATCAAAGGGAACGGTGGATCTGTTGGTCTAACACAAAATCCAGAGACCCTTCAGTGCTGGATGATAGCAGGACCAGAGGTGGCCAGGTTCACAGGAAAATTTGAAGCAGTAGCAGAGAAAGGAACCACCCAAAAAGGTTCTAACACAAAGCACAGTGAGCAGGTGCAAGGTGTCCAGGCTTCATTTGTACAACATATCCAGGCACTTGCTGAGATCATACAACCCCTTCTAAGAAGACAGTGTAGACTTAGTCTAACTGAACACCAAAGACATTGCAGTCCCCCTTGTCATTGT